TTAACTTCTAAGTTCTAAGGTAAGTTTATCACTTAACAGAGGGGTTAAACAGAGATATGTTGGCTCCATATTTATTAGGTTATTGTGAATGGAGACAGGTAGTCTACAGTGTTAAAAAAGAGCTTTGCTTCTAGCCATTCAGGCAGCTGTCTGTTCCGGGGGCACTCCATTGCCAGCTCTCAGCCTGTAGTTTTTAACAGATTCACTTTGCTTTACAAAGCAAATCCAAATCTTCAGGTCTGAGAAATGCGGCGCCTTGTGGGATCCAGCTGCTACTGTCTTTCAGAGACGCCCTTCCGAGTGTAACAGCATTTGAAATGGAAACCAACAGGTTCACATATTCCTTCAGGGCAAAGCTCTGAAAAACTCCTAAGACAAATCCTGTGTGCAAACACGTTTAATATTAATTCATGGAGCAACACTTACCAAGTCCATAAAGCATCAATTGGAACATTCCAGAATGCAAACCTACAAAAATGTGCAGACACTCTGAATTACCATGGGGCTCCAACATGGGAACAACAAGAGCTGGAGGTGCTGTCTGTATAGAAGCTGAATAGTTAAGAATTTAAGATTACTTTTCTATCTAAATATTTTCCATAAAAATGATTTCTTAGTAAGTATAAACAAACCAACCATTGGAGGATCCTGAATGTTAGAGGAAAAACATGATTTTGTAAAATTTGGAATACTACTGTTATGTCAATTGGTAGCTCAAAACGAAGAATGTAATTTTCAACTTGACCTGAAATGAACATACCTGTCTCAAATACTACATCAAAAAAAAAAAAAAATCCAAGATTCCTTAAAATGGGTTAAAATAGCTAGTGAAAATTCAACCCCAGAAGTGAGCTGAGTTCTAGTTTCACTTTCATTTGGTAGTTACTAATAAGTTAATTTTTAAACATTTTCTTTTTGATATAATGGGAAAAAAATTGTTTGGTAAACAGAATAAATTTCATGCATGGCCTAATGATTTTCAATGCCATTCTTCATAAAAAGAGATTTTCTGGTGGTTAGCGCCTGAGTGCTTAAAGAAACACTTGAAAACTATTAAACATTATTGATTATAGAGGAAAAAAATTTTTTCAAGTCATTTGTGTACCTCATTTTCCAGTCACAGATAAAATAAGAACGTAGCCAATTGCTAAACACAAATCCACAAAGCTGACAATATACTTTTTTTTTTTTTTTTTAGACAGGGTCTCCCTCTATCACCTGGGCTAGAGGGCAGGGGTGTCATCATAGCTCACAGCAACCTCAAACTCTGGGGCTCAAGTGATCCTCCTGCCTCAGCCTCCCGAGTAGCTGAGACTACAGGCATGCACCACCATGCCCGGCTAATTTTTTCTATATATTTTTAGTTGTCCGGATAATTTCTTTCTACTTTTTTGTGTAGAGACGGGGTCTCCCTCTTGCTCAGGCTGGTTTCAAACTCCTGAGCTCAAACAATCCTTCCGCCTGGGCCTCCCAGAGAGCTAGGATTACAGGCGTGAGCCACCGCGCCCGGCCAAATTTCCACCAGTCTCAATTAACTTTTCCCTTAATCCTACAAGTCGGTATAAAAAAATCCAGTAAACGAGCAAAGCATTGAAAACACATTAAGTGCTGATCAGATTGAGAGGTTGTAAAAGGAATATATTCTTCTTGTTACCAAGTTCCTCTAAAGCTACAGCACAGACAAAAAAAGGTAGACAGGGTGGCGGGGAGAGAGTGCCGAGGCAGGTCTTCCGCACTCATCGGCACCCCACCCACGGACCAGGCGGAATGAACGGAATGAACGCTGGAGGCTCCATGCCCGGCCGGCCTTTTACTCTTTGCAGACTTGATGGGAAAAGATCTGGGGGTCCCGGGGAAGGAGCGGGGTGCTGACGGGGAGGTTCAGGGGGACCCCAGGTGGCAGCTGATTAACTGGGAGGAGGATGTTTCAGTGTCTCCACAGCTGCACATCTGTACGGGGCCCACCCGCTGCGCTCCGGCCTCTCCGCGCTTCCCGTGACCCAGCGTCCGCCTCTCCAGGGGGGCACTCACACCGGGAAGAGTGAGGTGGGGATGCGGACAAGAGAGGGGACCCTCTCGGGGCTGGGACAGGGCCTGACCCCCTTCTTTGGGTCCCCAGATGTGGACGAGTGCAGCTCCGGGCAGCATCGCTGCCACCCGTCCACCGTGTGCACCAACACCGTGGGATCGTACAGGTGCCGCTGCCGCCCAGGCTGGAAGACCAAACCTGGGCTCCCGAATAACCAGAACATCACTGTCTGTGAAGGTGGGTTCTGACCTGCCCTTGGAACCTCCCCCGCCCCAACACACACACAGACACACACACACACACAGACACACACACAGACACACACACACACACACTCTCGCACGCCTAACGAGCCGCCGTGCTGTTCCCTGCAGAGACGCCCTTTACCAACTGGACCCCGCCCCCAGGCATCCACAGCCGGGTGAGTGGCCCCAGCAGGGACCAGGAGGCAGAAAAACCCCACACACAGCCCCAGGATTTGGTCTGAGCTCCCCACCCACCCGAGAGAAGCTCTAACCCCCTCTTCTCTCCTTTCCCAAGAGTTTGTCTCGCTTCTTTGACAAAATCCAGGATCTGGGCAGAGACTTCAACCTCAGCCCCGGGCACCATCAAGGTAAGGGCAGGAGGAGGCAGAGGACGGGGCGGCAGTTTCTGTCGCGAAGGAGACAGGCCCCAGTGCAGCGGACCCTCCTCTGACTGCCTGCCTCTCCCAGGGCTGATGGCAGAGCGGACGCTCTGGTTGTCCTACACACTGTTAGACTGTTACTATCTTTCCTCTTCCTGCCCCTGGACGTAGAGCTGATGTCATCATTGATGTTTCAGAGGAGGATTGGTTTCTAAGAGGCTGTACTCCAGGGGCAAGGATCCATTTATTTAGGGTATTTAATTTCTTTCAAAATCTTCTGAAGTTTTCTGTGTTACAAGTCTTGAGCCTCTTTGGTAAATGCATTCCTAATATTTTGTTGAGGGTTTTTCATCTATGTCTATAAGAAATATTGGTGTATAGTTGAACTGTGAATTCTTTATCTGGTTTTATTACTAGAGTAATATCAATGTCACAGAATTATCTAGGCAGTGTTCCCTCCTCTTCTATTTTTTGGAAAAGCTGACAAAGAGTTGAAATGTTTATTCTTCCTTAAGTGGCAGCTAAAATTCACCGGTGAAAAAGCCCTCTGCTCTGGGCTGTTCATTCGGGATGTTTTGATTACTGATTCGATCTTTTTACCTGTTATGGGTCTGTTCAGATTTTCAATTTGAGTTTTGGTGGTTTGTGTATCACTAGGTATTTGTCCCTTTCATCTAGGTCATCTAATTTGTTGTTGCACGATTGGAAAGACTGTGGGAGCTAGGAACCAGGAACCATGGATGAAAACTTTTGTATCTATCATGACACGACAGGGCATCCCCTGGTTTTTGAACTCCAATCCCTTATATCAAAAGGATACACAACTCAAAACGTACTGCCACATTACTAAAATCTCATTCAGTCACCAGTACTTACTCCTGTCCATCATATTACATGAATGTCTCCGAGGGTGAGGTCACTGGCTTCACAGGCTTCCTTTCCATCTTGTCAGATTCCAAAAGGAAGAGTGTTCTTGGCATACATGGCTTCACCCTTTCAGGCATTTGACATAATTAAGCTTAGAGGCAACATCATCTCCTGCTCCAAACCTCTTTCGAGGTATAAATGTAATGTTGTATTTCCCTCAATTTATAACGCACCTATTCATTGCTTTGCTCTCAAGTACTATTTTTTTTCTTCTCTCCATTAATATCCAAAGCTTTTCACCTTTGGAAGGGATATTAGAATCACCACGGTGCTCTTCTAGATTCCAGGCAGCAATACCAATCCTGCAAGTACATCTTCCTTAGTCCATTCATGCAGGGTCAGGTTTCATAGGTTCAGAACCAGTAAGACATCTCTACCACCAGCAAAAACAGCTGTGTTCACAGTTAACCCCAATTTCGCACAACCAACTTCCATCAGACCCTTAAAAAGTTTGACATAAGGTTTAAAAACATGCTTTGAGAGGCCGAGGTGGGAGGATTGCTTGAGGCCAGGAGTTCAAGACCAGTCTGGGCAACATAGACCTCATCTCTGTAAGAAATTTTAAAAATGAGGTGGGCGTGGTGATGGGCACCTGTAGTCCCAGTTACTCAGGAGGCTGACACAGGAGGATCACTTGAACCGAGGAGGTCAAGGCTGCAGTGAGTTATGATGGTGCCAGTATACTCTAGCCTGAGCGACCAAGTAACACTCTGATTTTAAAACAAAACGTAGTTGTAGTTACTTGCTTAGGAATGATACCTGCTTCCAGCACTTGTAGTGGCAGCCATCGTCTAGGACTACAGCATTGAATAGGGGAGAAAAAAAAATTTTTTTTTAGGTGATTCGAGGAAGAAAGAAAAAATTATAGTTGTTATATCAACTTCTCCTTTGGCAGTTGACATTGCCCATTTTACTTCTCTATCAAAATATTACTCTGAGAAGGATACCTCCATGCCCATTGTTGAACATGATGGTTTAATTTCCCTCATACATTTCTCACACAGATTCAAGGCTGTAACATCTTAAGATGGAATATTAAATACATGGTATTGAATTGGGAAGGAAATGAAACCTTCCGAAAGAAAATAAAACAAGCAGCCTGGAAAAGAAAACAAACTAATTCAATTGCTGTAACTCATAAACCAACCTTGTAGAGAAAATGTTATTATCCTGTTATAACAGATTTCTTTGTGTCCTGCTTATATAAACAACAACTTTTAACTTTGGAGCACTGAGCCCATTTCTCTAAAGTCTGTGTTTTTCTGAATGGCCATTCTTAACTTTTCCTTTGAATAAACTGTTTAAAACTGCCTTCATTTGAAAGTTAAAAAACTAACACAAAAAACTGCATTCTGATCCTCTCCGCTATTTCGGGTCGTCAGGACACATACAACATGCCTACCGCAGCCCCTTAACTCTTGACCCCGGTCCTGAGCAGAGCACACCTCCTGCCTCCAACCCTTCCCTCTGAACCCTCCTAGCTCCCTCACTAGCCTCAGTCACTCTGGGCCCCCGACATACCCACACTGGCCCCACAAACTCTCTGGTCTGTCCCCACTACGTGGCCTGAGCCTAATCTCCTCGTCCCTTCACCCTCAGCCTGAACTGTCTTGGCGGCTCTGAACTTCTTCCCGCGCCTCTCCACACCTCCTTCCCCTCCCAGCCACACCGACGCCCCTCCCCCACATCTTCTCTAGCTGCACCCCGACCTCTCAACATCTATGTCCTCCTAAAAGAGCCACCACTTCTGGCTGCATCAGGTTCCCCAACCCTGAGCCCCGTTGTTACAGCAAGTGGTCCCAGGACAAACCGAGCGACACACACAGAATCAGAGAATCAAAGTTTATTCGCCGGCGGGCTCAGAGGGGCCTCGCCACCAAATTCTGAGCGCCGTCTACCCGATTTTTCCCAGTTTTATTGAGTGTAGTGGTCTGGGGGGTAGGGTGTCAGGTGGTTAATGCCTGCTAGGCAATCAATTAGTTGATGGGCCAGGTAATAGGTTAGTATTATGCTGATGCCGGTCTTCCGTGAGGAGTGGGGGTCTCAGGTGGCTGATGTGCCAAGTAACAGATGGGGGTTTTCCTTATCACCATCAGTGCCAGCAACTCTCTCTTCCCTCAACCCCGGCTGGGCGCGAAGCTCTCGAGTCCTCACCTCCGCCGGAATCCGGGCCCCAGAGCCGCTCCTGGGGCGGGGCCTAGACCGCCCCTCCACGCAGGGAGATGGGCTAGAGAGGCTGTGGCTAGAACCTGTCAATCAGTCTCCGCAGGTTCCTGTGTCCCATCGCTTCACCTTTCACTCAGGAGCCAGGGGGCGGGGCTTGAAGCCCTATCCAATCACGGGCGCTGAGGCGGGGCCTGGGAACGCCCATTACAACGTGCGGGACGACCTGCAAACTCTGTTGCGTTGTGGGCCGGTTCCGGTCAGGTGTTCGCTGCTGTCATGGTCCCCAAGTGCCTCCGCCACAGCTTCTGTCGCGAGGTCACTTGCGCTGTGACCTGCACTGGTCACGAGAGCCGTAGAGAAGACGCCAGGTCACCCCGCGAGCTGGGAAATGGTGAGCGTGCGGGGCCGGGGGTCCCCAGACGCGGAGCAGGGACTGGTTGGAACTTTCCGGAACCGGCTGTAGCGGGACCCGGGCCTCGCCGCGGTCCGCTCTGGAGTCTGCAGACACGAGTCGCTGCTGGCGCAGCTCGGCCCTCGATCCTTCCGGCCAGCGGGGTGGGACTGGGCCGGCAGCCGGGCCCCCGGGCGTCCTGTCCCGTCCCTGCGTGGCGACCTCGGCTCAGGCTCCGAAGCCCTGTCTGGGCAGCTCCGCGTGTCCCCAGATTGTGCGGTGACGGCGGGCGGGTCCTTGGGGGAGGGTCCCGACTCGGTGGGTGGGGGTCGTGCGTTGTGGGGCTGCGGTCTGTGGCGTCCCCAGGCCCACCCTTCTCCTGTTAAAAACTGAATTCAGCTTTGCGGCTTGTTAACAGAAAAAGCCCAAACTCTAAAATAAATACGTTTATTCTGAGCAGAAAAGGAGGGCAAAAACTTAAGAATCCTGAATGAGGTGGTCGGCTTACAGGTTGGTTTTATACATTTCGGGGAGTCAGAAACTGCAGATAAAATCATAAATCAGTACATGGACGGTATACATTGGTTCGGCTTAAAGGCTGGACATCTGGAAGCGGGGATTTACAAGCTGTAGGTGGGTCGAGGGATTTTTTAGTTGACAATTGGTTGAGGGTGTTAAACTTTATCTAAAAATTTGGACACCCTAGGAAATAATGCTTAAAATAAGGGATCTGTTCTCTCTCCTGTGATAGCATGCCGGTAAAAAATAAAAAGCAGTTTAACTAGGTTTTATGGCTTCTAATGCATGACTTTACCACTGCCTTGCATGGCCTTAGGTCTTGTTTATAATTCGGTATCTTATTGCCACAGAGGATCTTTGTATTGTCAGTTTGTGATCACTGTTTAGACATTAATGTTGGTTAACTGTATCTAAGCTCCTAAAAGGAGCGTGTATAACAAGACATGTCTGACCACCATTCCCAATGGGGCAGGGAACTCAGTGTTAAGGTTTTCCTGGGGTCCCCTAGGACAAGAGGGGATCTGTTCACCCAGTTGCAGGGCTTAGGACTTTTTTTTTGTTTACAGGTTAAAGGAAAGGCTTTTATAAAGTGCGTGAGGAACAAATCCAGATTAAATACTTGATTGGTTACAGTTGGGTAGTCGCCTTGTTTGTGCTTGTCAAGCAGAAGTGAACAGATCACGATCCAATTTTAAAGACTTTATTCAAGTGAAAGATCAGGGATGACCATTTGGGAAAACACAGACTCCAGAAAAATGGGTTCAGTTCTCCAAAGTCAAAAGTGAAATTCTTAAAACTCCCCAAAATGTAACAGGATCACAACATTTTGTATACAAGCCTCATTTATGAGGGACAGGGGTTTAATTCATTACAGTTTGTGTTTTTTTCCTGTAGCATTAAGTTTTCTGGCTGCTCAAGTTTCCCTTGGGCACTTCCTTGGAATGAGCCACCCACAGTCAGGGTGGGTCCCAAGCTTGGGAATGTCTCTGACCTATGGGAGTGATGCACGCTGCCTGCCTGAACTGCTTCCGTTTGGTTTCCTTTGTAGAATCTTGCTGCCATGTATTTGTTCTTTAGCCAGGCACTTAAGAATTGTCTTCCATAATTTGTGTGTAAGAATTTTATTTACTTGTTTGAACCTGAGTGGACTGTGTGATAATGTCTGAAGAAGCAAATAGAGTTCTTGAAATCAATTGTTTGTTGCTAAATTGAAGTAATAAGAATGTAAATATCCAAGGACACACCACTCAGGGAAATCAATAGAGCTTAAGCAATTCTGTTGCATCTCCCTGATCTCATCTCAATTTGGCAACCACAAGTGACCAAAGCTGTGATTTGTTCTGTTATTCTTTATAGCTTTATCATCTCTTTATTAAGATGCAGAGTTTTACCTCTTTTGAGTTTTCAGCAACTTAATATTACCATTTATATTATGCTGATACAGTTTATTTCTGGTTTTCTTGCATCAGTTTGTTGCAAACATGCTATAGCCTGAAGTGGCTGGTTACCCAGTTTACTCACCCCTTGCACTGCTCTTGGAACTTGGGTTGTTTGAAGTTTATTATTTGATCTTGTTGACAATGGCATTCTTGTTTCTGCCCCAAAGTGGAAATACAAAATGAATTTATTACCCATTGAGAAAAATGCGCCGTGTTGTAGATGATGGATAAATTCAAATGCAGTAGAAATTGCCCATAAAGTGTATGTATGAATTAACCATCTCATCTTTCATGCACATGTGTTCATTTTTGTGATTTCCCAACACTTGAAATTATGGAACTCATTTCTTTTTTTTTTTTTGAGACAGAGTCTCACTCTTTTGCCTGGGCTAGAGTGAGTGCCATGGCGTCAGCCTAGCTTACAGCAACCTCAAACTCCTGGGCTCAAGTGATCCTCCTGCCTCAGCCTCCCGAGTAGCTGGGACTACAGGCATGCGCCACCTTGCCCGGCTAATTTTTCTATATATTTTTAGTTGTCCAATTAATTTCTTTCTATTTTTGGTAGAGATGGGGTCTCGCTCTTGCTCAGGCTGGTTTCGAACTCCCAAGCTCAAACAATCCGCCCTCCTCGGCCTCCCAGAGAGCTAGGATTACAGGCGTGAGCCACCTTGCCCGGCCTGGAACTCTTTTCTTTTTGCCTGTCAAGTGTTAAACAGAATTTCTTTGTGAATATTTATCTCTTTTTACTGGTTGCCATTCCTTCAGCATTTTTCCTATGTCATGATTCATCCTCTATGAAATAATTGACAGTCATTTTCTCACTACCAATTTGTAGATTTAGGCCTTTTTTTTTTTTTAACATACTCTGAACATTTTCATTTCTATCATCAGCAAATATTTTCTTTCATATTGTGGTTATCTTTTCATTCCATTCTATCTTTTGGTGAACTTTCTTAATTTAAATACAGTGTGTCCAAAAAGTCACCATATATAGGGAAAATGGGTAACTGTAACTAAATCTATCTTTATTTCCAAAATATTCATTACAAAATTTTTTCTTTGTATGGAGTCTACAAAGTGGATCTATAGGCTGACAACACCTTGAGTAGTTTTTCCTAATTTCAGTGAAAAACAAAAGAAAATTATTTGTCAATTTCATGGGATTTAATACATACAATACTAGATATATTTCAGAGAGGTTACGTCATGGGGCTATTAAGTCTCCTTTCTTAGGACATGTGGACATCATTTATTTCATTAAGCGTTCATTCAATGTGCACTTTTTGAATTATGATCACTTTATATCCTTCATTAGACTTTTGAGACTTTAAGAAAATTGCTTTTAATGTAAATTAGTTTGGTTTCTTTTTATAGACACTGGGTCTCCCTCTGTTGTTACAGCAAGTGGTGCCGAGGACAAACCGAGCGGCACACAGAGTCGGAGAATCAAAGTTTATTTGCCGGCGGGCTCAGAGGGGCCTCGCCACCAAGTTCTGAGCACCCTCTACCCGATTTTTCCCACTTTTATTAAGTTGTGGTGGTCTGGGGGGTAGGGCGTCAGGTGGTTAATGCCCGCCAGGTAATAGGTTAGTTGATGTGTCAGATAATAGATTTAGTGTTATGCTGATGGGCCAGGTAATAGGTTAGTATTATGCTGATGCGGGTCTTCCTTATCATGTTACCTGGGCTCAAGTGCTGTGGCATGATCATAGCTCACCAAAATCCGAAACTCCCGGGCTCAAACAATCCTCCCACCTGTGCCTCCTGAATAGCTAGGACTCCAGGCAGGCCACCCTGCCTGGGTAATTCTCTTCATTTTTTTGTAGAGACAGAGATTTGAATTTTGCATTTAGGTTAATGATGTATTTTTGAGTTAATATCATGAATGTTTTATGTTCTATGTCTAATTCATGTTTTTGAATGGTGTAGTCCAGGTATTCCAGTACCATTTGTTGAAAAGAATTTGCACAGAGCAAATGAGGACTCTATTAAAATTTTTATATTTTGTTTTTATGAATATTTTTCATGAAAGGAAGTCACCAATTCACTGTCTGAAATTATGTTTTGTAAAATACTTGTACCTTGTGAATGGTGATGTTAAGCATCTTTTCCTGTGTTTTTTGACTATTTGTATGTATCTCAGAGAAATGTCATTGTAATTTTTCTCCATCCTTTAATCAATGTGTTTAGTTCTTTGGAACAATAATTTAAAATTGTTAATTCTCATTTTAAAAACCACTGATAAATTCACAAACTTAAGTAATTTTAAGTGTATAGATAGTGAATAGTGTTAACTATATTCATTTTGTCATGTGACTGATCTCCAGAAATTTTTCATCTTGTAACGATCACATTTTATACCCATTGAACACACCTCCCCCTTCCCCCTTCCTCTCAGCCATTGGCAGCTGCCATTCCACTTCCTGGTTTTTGAGTTTAATGACTTTACACAATTTATCTAAGATGACTGATAGGCATTTTTCCTTTTGTCAATGGCTTTTTCTACTTGGTATCCCATTTTGAAGTTTTATGTATGTTGTGACATGTACCAGGATGTTATTTGGTAAGACTCAATTATTTCTCATTATACGTAAATGCATAGCCATATTTCCTTTAACCATTCTTCCATCAGTGGACATCGGGGTTGATCCACCTCTTGTTTGTGTGAACAACGGTTTTCAAATATCTTTCTTCAAGACTCTGCTTTCAATTCTTTTGAATTGAATATAGATATACTGGGAAGTGGCTTGCTGGAATACATAGTAATTTTATTTTTAATTTTTGAGGAGCCATCACATTGTTTTCCACAGGGCCTGAGCCATTTACATTCCTTTGGACGTTGACATGAATCCAATTTCTTTACATCCTCATCAAAATTTTTATTTGGGGTGTTTGATTTTTTTCATAGTTGATTTTTTGGTTTTTGGTTTTTTTGAGACAGAGTCCCACTCTGTTGCCCAGGTAGAGTGCAATAGGATGATCATAGCTCACTGCAACCTCCAACTCCTGGACTCAGGCAATCCTCCTGCCTCAGCCTCCCCAGTAGCTTGGGACTGCAGGTGTAGCCCACCACATCCAACTAATTGGATGTTGTTGTTTTGATGTAGTTGACATTTAGGACTTTTAAAATCTGTTCTTAATATTAAGAACTTGCCAGATACATTATTCACCAGTATTTTCTCCAGTTTCATGAATTGCCTATTCCCTCTCTTGATAATTTCCTCTGAATAAGAAATCTTTTAATTTTCATGAATCATATTTTCTTTTTTGTTAAGACTAGGCTCCCTAGACTTTTTTTAACCTGTCAACCTTGTCCCCATTTTAACCTGTCAACCTTGTCCCCCTTGTCCCCAACCTTTCAGCAATTCAAATAGTACAATGGAGGTTTTTCTACCCGATAACCTATCCCATAAAAGTTTCTGCTCATGGGTTTCTCTTTCAGTAAGTTATGACTGTCTTAGTAGTTAAGACGGTGGGATATTGTCCAAAGTACCATCAAAGGTTAAACTTTCTGAATAAGTGTTATCAAAGATGCAAAGTCTCAGGATTGCTAATGCTAACTTTTCTGTATGCTAACTAGTAGGGTTTTGTTATGACAAGTGCTACAGATCCACTGAACAAGGGGACACTAGTGGTGACCCAGGCAACACAACTTTCTCCCTTGGGTTCACCAACAAGACACATTTTTCTATTCTGCTATTGGTTAACTACATAGTACCATTGTACTAATAGCATTAGAATTGTTGTGTGGGAGGAAGTGAGTATGGCCAGATAGTTAAGAGTCTCACAACCAAGTCATAGAGAAATGTTTGGAGTCCAAAGCATTATGTTAACTTCTTAGCATAGAGCACAGGTCCCCAGCGCTGTGAGTCTCACTCATCCTCCTCTACACATGTGGGATGTTTCAGGACCCAGTGACCTTTGAGGATGTGGCTGTGAACTTCACCCCCCAGGAGTGGGCTTTGCTGGATCCTTCTCAGAAGAATCTGTACAGAGATGTGATGCAGGAAATCTTGAGGAACCTGGCAGCTATAGGTAAGGGTGACAGTATTCCCTCACTCAGTGATTTAGAGAACAAGAGTTTCTTGCTCATAAGTGCTTTTAGTGATTTGGAACATGGACAGGGGATACTTTGGTGCATAAATCAGGCATGGCTGCAGCGAACCATGAACATAGAATCTAATATTTTTTTCATAATTGTAATAATTCAGGACTGTATTTCTGGGTCTGTCTTTTAGGAAAAAAATGGAAAGGAAAGAACATCGAAGATGAGTGTAAAAATCCGAGGATAAATCTAAGGTAATTTGTACTCAGAAGACAAATAAATATCTCTGGAGAGAATTTTAAAATGTCTAGAAATGTTAAAAAAAAAAAAAAACCTAATAATCCCATCATTTTAATTTACTCTTAGAAAAATTGCTCTGAAAACACATACTTTAATTTGACACAGATAATTGATGTTTTTGAAATAGTTTACTTGGAGATAGTATTAAGAAACCCTACATAAATATCATTTCACTATAATTGGTATGGACTAGCTGTCTTACAGAGCAGGTGGTCCATGCTGGAACAATTCAGACAGGACCCAAAAGCCTACCCTTTCCTTGAGAAAGTTAAAAATGCAAGTACAATGCTTATCAATAAATAAAAAATCATTTATAAACAGAGACTTAATAACATGCTTCTTATTTTCCACAGAAGTGTTGTCGGAGAGAAACTATTTACAAGTAAAGAAGGTAGTCAGTGTGGAGAAACGTTGAATCAGGTTTCAGATCACATGCTGAAAAAGAAAACTCCTGGATTAAAACCATGTGAAAGCAGTGTGTGCCAAAAATTCTCCATTGGTCATTCAACTTTTAATAGTCACATCAGAGCTGACACAGGACACAAGTATGAGTATGATGAGTGTAGACAAAAGCCATATACACGTAAGCAATATGAGAAAGGCTTCAGTTATCAGCACTCCTTTGGAACACGCGAAAGGTCTCCCAGTGGAAAGAAACTCTATGATTGTGAGGAATGCGAGAAAACCTTCAGTTCTCTGAAAGGCTTTCAAGGACACATGGGAATGCACAGTAGAGGTGGACCTCATAAATGTATGTTTTGTGGAAAAGCATTTGCTTTTCTCGATTTATGTCATAAACATGAAAGAATTCACACTGGAAAGAAACCATATGAATGTAAGGAATGTGGGAAAGCCTTCATACATTTCAGTTCCTTTCATAGACATGAAAGGACGCACACTGGAGAAAAACCCTACGAATGTGAGCAATGTGGGAAAGCATTTGCTCAGTGGAGGAGCATTCAGTGTCACATGAGAATGCACACTGGAGACAGACCTGATGAATGTAAGATATGTGGGAAAGCCTTTTATTCTCCTGGTTCACTTCAAAGACATGAAAGAAGTCACACTGGAGAAAAACCCTATGAATGTAA